CATCTCTTTCTATCGAATTCCTAGTAATTTCTAGCGACATTATGACTTAAGCAAATAAGGTTTCTACTTAGCAAGTTTTGAATCACTTATTTCTAGGGACGACTTCGTGACTCACGCGAATCATCGGGCTTCGACGATTCGCACGATCTTCTAGATGACGCCTTGCCGCAGGCGATGACCGCACCGGTATCGCCATCAGTGCCGCTAAGCGCTAGCAGGTAAGCTTACCCTAACCCAACCCTAACTCGCAGTTACCTGAAACAATGAAGCGATTGCAGTCATTCGGACGGATGGAAGTACTCGTCGCAGAAGTTGCTGTGGAAACTGAAACCTCGTTACATCAATTTCAGTCATGCATCGAGCACTTCGTCATCGACAGATTCAGCATGGAAGTCACTGGTAGGCTGTATTCTTTAAGAAATAACATGCACGGTGCATGAAAACCTTCATATAACGATATAATGGTTAACCTATCAATCTACAACCCTAGTCGTACAAGAAAGAACCAGCACAACAAAATATCGATTTTGCAAATTTGCAAGTTCATTTTTTTGCCGTGGTCCTTGGCTTTGATTTTTGTAGTGCATATAAGCGAAGAAATTATTATTGGAATAAATGCGCTGACCCTTTGTGTCATGTGCTGGTTTTTATTTTTTTTTTGGAAAAATTGGCGGCTCACCAGCATGCACAATCAAATATAGGTAATAAGCAAGAAAACAGCAATCACGAATTCTTATTGGAAAATTGCTGTGAATGATGGTACATCTGCAAAGATACTGACAATAAGCCTGCGTTGAGCAATGAAATTTTTGAATTTTCGAAAAAAATTGTAATACTTGTTTTGTGGGCAGCCTAATCATCGCTTTCACGTTTTTACCCATCAAGAAGCGAAGTTTCTAGGCTGCACGCCCGTGCTTCAAATTTAAACTAAAACTTGTTTACGTTTTTCAATTCACTGATTTTCCTGCAGTCCGCTGCAAAAATCCGATCAACACTCATCATCTGCCCCCACAGTCATTGACTTCTATAGCCATAAAACACCCTCTTATTTCTGTCATACATCAATAACACATTAGTTTTACGATATCCCATTAATGGCAAGATAGCCATGCCACGCCGAAGTATGGGGAATAGATTTTACCTCAATCTAGCCTTTCAAAGAAAAAAATTATTGAATAACGAGTTTGCTTCGAAAACGTGTCCTACCCAATTTTTCCCAAACAAAATTCTCTACCAAAAAATAATAGTAATTTCTCTACTACAATACTTATCTCAGTGCAACAGAAGCAAAGCACTACTTGTTTTATTTGAAAAACCTTGATATAACATTTTACACTTTTTTCAAGTCCTATATCTGACTATACTTTTACAACAATCAAAATACTAGCGACACTCGATCAATCATGCTAAGCTCTCACGCAAAATTTGTATTTCACGAAAAATTACTCAATCACTCAGATCAGTACACATATATTCAGTCAATTTAATCAAAGCTACCAAATTGTAGCTCGAGGACATATCGTCTCGACAATAATTCAAAAATTCTGAGCTGTTGATGTTGACGCATAGAAAGTTTTGTTCACATAACTTAATCCATTATGCGTGGCTCATAATTAAAACATCGTCGATGGCTTTAGACAAGTCATTGGCGCGCAATATGACGTCGGGTTTCACATTGCATTTGCTCTTTCCGAAACCAGAGAGCAAAGAATGCCAGCCGAGCGAACGGACTTTCAACTTTCGAACTGAGCACCTGTTGCAAGGGCAAAGAATATTGTCTTGCCTGTTGAAAAATGCTACTTGTATACCAGTAGTGTTTATGGGGTGTGATGTGAAAAATGACGAAAAAGAATCGTCGCTATTAGGTGGATCTCTTGTTTTCATTCATTGCTTCTTGGCAATGTCCAGAATAATCCCTGAGAAACTTAATCAGCTAAAAGTATGACTAGTTTAAGTGATTACAAAAGATTTGAGCGTGAAAAGAATCTATGAAGCCTATATTTGAGCACATCCTGATCTATCAATTACCATAATTTTGTTATCAAAATTTCCCCCAAAAAATCAAATTTGCTTCTGGCCTTTTAAAATTCACCTGTGAGGTAAAGAACTAGAGTAAAACTAGTGCAGATGTCATGTCATTTTAAACGAAAAAGCTATTATCAGATAAATACGTGCTTTTTTAATTTCTCCAGCTACTCGTATGTTAAGCTCATAATTTCGAGATTTTTTTGCTACGACCTGTCAGTTCATGAAAAACAATCTACTGAGTAAATATGAAAATATTTAGATACTGTTCCAGGACAGCTTCACATGGAGATCAGTGGATGGAGCCGAAGTTGTCCTTCGTGGAGCTCGTTTGGAAGCTTTGAGTGAGATTGAACGAAGTGCTCTTCGCCTTGTCGCTCTACAGCGACTAGCGGTCCTTCTGCCTGGAGTAAGCCTGGCCAAGCCGAAAGGTAATCGAAAATATTGCTTTTTCTTTTTCTTTGCTTGATTCTGATATTTCAGATCCCCTGCTAGCCATTAGGCAAAAGAGGCAAAAGCTTTTGAAGCCGAACAAGGCTCTGAACGCTGCCGAAGGAAATCGACGAGTAGGCGGATATAGTGTAGATGCAGGTTAGTCACTTTTCTCAAAGACGTGGTATATAAGTTTCTTTATTTTTGTTTGGATTACCAAGCTATAAAAGTTTACCAAGAGAAAATCTACGAGAATTACTGATTTTGCTTGCACATGATTGCTAAGAAAACTCCAGATATAATTTCTTTTGCCATCTGCCATCTTGTTTGGGTTTACTTTCCATTTTCTTTACATCTCCCACAGGAAAGATATAAAACTTCATCTGGTAGAAGCTTGCGAATGTATTTAATAACGACAAACTTATGAAAATTTCCAAAATGCGACTCTAATTCCCGAAAAACTCGTGTCAAGTTATTTCATAGATCAAACATTTAGAAACATCATAATTCTCTGCACATCTGAAATTTGCACACAAATAAATTTTCATTCCAGCTGAGAAACGGCTGTTTGGGGTTTCTCTGGTGACTTGTATGCAAAATGAGCGCCGATTGGATCTCGAAAGCAGATGTCGTTCGCTTGACGATGCTGCTTGTGCCACAGGACCTGCTGGGTAAGTTTAAATTTTGTTCTTCTTTGTTTTATTCCAGGAAATCATGCTGTATTTCAGAAATTCTTCTCCTCAACAACAAGCTAAATCTGTTCGGTCTGAGCCTGAATTTATGACATTGAACGATCGAAAATGGCTATATCCATCGACACAGGTAGTATCGCATCTTCTTTTTCTAAATAAAAAATAATTATTAAAAAATTTTCTTTTTTTTTGCAGAATTTGTATCCTGAGTCAACTCCTTCGTCTCCAGCGGCATATGGTTCAGCTCCACCCACTTGTTCCTTGCCTGTCAAGGATTTTTCGCTGATCACACATGCAGAACCGGAAAAGGAAATTGTTACGGTAAGCAAAAAATGTTTTTTCGCAAAATTGTTGAGTGAGAAAATTTGCTTTAGGGTCGTTTTATCAAAAAACAACGTCCTTCCTCCGCTTCGTTTTCGTATTCGCTTGACGCACCAGTATCTAGCGATGATGCTGATCCCCACACCCTTCAAGTGCCACGAATCGTGGAGAATTGTACACAGTATCTCATGGCATACGGTAAGCGTACGGTAGCACGCAAAATAACACCAAAAAGTCGATATTTTTAGGTCTCAATACGGTCGGACTATTCCGAGTGGCTGGAAATGCTAAGCGCTGCCGTCAGCTGAAAAGTACTCTGGAAAAGGTGCGTATTTGCATTTTTCTTAACCTACGACCTCAAAAAAATCCGTGATTTCTAGGTTGGAGGTGGTACGGCCATTAGTGACGAACTTGTTGA